CAAAGACAGCTGGGATTTTTATAGGGAATGAATCTGTACATCAATTTGGGTATATTGAAGATATCAATATACCCAAATTGATGTACAGATTCATTCCCTATAAAAATCCCAGCTGTCTTTGTTGCAGAAATTGAGAAGTTGACCCTAAAATTTATATGGAAATTCAGTCTTGAAAAAGAAGATCAAAGTTGGAGGATTGACACTTCCTGGTTTCAAAACTTACTACAATCCTATAAAGTAATCAAGAGTCTGAAACGGGCATAAGGAAAGACATAGAGATCAATGGAACAGAATTGACAGTCCAGAAATAAGCCCTAACATATATGGTCAATGGATATTCCAAAAGGGTTCTAAGACCATTCAACAGAGAAAGAATAATCTTTTCACACCTGGTGCTGAGAAAACTGGATATTCATATACAAAAGAATGAGGTTAGATTTCTATCTCACACCACATTCAAAAACTAATTCAAAATGGACCAAAGAGGCCGGCCCGTGGCTAACTCGGGAGAGTGCGGTGCTGATAACACCAAGGCCACGGGTTCGGATCCTATATAGGGATGGCCGGTTTGCTCACTGGCTGAGCGTGGTGCTGACAACACCAAGCCAAGGGTTGAGATCCCCTTACCGGTCATCTTTAAAAAAAAAAAAAAAAAAAATGGACCAAAGGCTTAAATGTAAAAGCTAAAATTATAAAACTATTTGAAGAAAAAACAGGTGTAAATCCTTGTGATCTTGGGGTAGAGAATGCCTTCTTAGGTAAGATACCAGAAGTACAAGCACAAAAGAAAAAATTGATAAATTGGACTTCAACAAAACATTTGTGCTTCAAAGGACATTGACAAAAAATGAAAAGACAACTCACTAAATGGGAGAAAATATTTGCAAATTATATATCAGATATGGGACTTATATCTAGAATATATAAGGAGCCATTACAAGTCAACAATAAAAAGAATGCAATTAAAAAATTAGCAAAGGATCTAGGCATTTTCCTAAAGAAGATACACAAATGGGTAATTAGCACACGAAAAGAGTCCATCATCATTTGCCATCAGGGAAATGAAATGAAAACTGAAATACCATTTCATACAAACTAGTGTGGCGTAATAAAAAAGATGAACTATAACAAGTTTTGATGAGGAGTGAAAAAATTGCAACCTGTGGTAAATAGAATTAATGCCCCCTCCCACTCCCAGCCCAAAGAGATCCATGTCCTAATCCCAAGAATCTGAGAATATGTTACCTTACATGGCTGAAGGGAATTTGCTATATGATTAAGAATCATTTATTTATTTATTTATTTATTTTTGGCAGCTGGCTGGTACGGGGATTGAACCCTGGGCTTTGGCATTATCAATACCATACTCTAACCAACTGAGCTAACCAGCCAGCCAACAATGTTGAATAGAAGTGGTAAGAGCAAATATTCTGTTGTTCCTGACCTTATGGGGAAAACATCCAGTCTTTCACTGTTAGGTGTGACGTTAGCTGCGGGGTTTTCATGATGTCCTTTATCAGGTTGAGGAAGTTCTATTAACCTCAGGTTGAAGTTGTGGAACTTCTTTTTTTTTTTTAAAGATGACCGGTAAGGGGATCTCAACCCTTGGCTTGGTGTTGTCAGCACCACGCTCAGCCAGTGAGCAAACCGGCCATCCCTATATAGGATCCGAACCCGCGGCCTTGGTGTTATCAGCACCGCACTCTACCGAGTGAGCCACGGGCCGGCCCTAAAGTTGTGGAACTTCTATTTCTAGTTTCTTGAGAGTTTTTTATTATGAAAGTGTGTTGAATTTTGTCACATGCTTTTTCTGCATGTATTGAGATATCATGTGGTTTTTGTCTTTTATCCTATTAATGTGTTATATTACATTGGATTTTCATATGTCCAAGCAACCTTGCTTTCCTGGGATCAATCCTACTTGGTCATAGTGTATGATCCTTTTTATATGTTGCTGGTTTGGGTTTGCTAGTATTTTACTGAGGATTTTTGAGTCTATATTCATAGGGAATATTGGTCTGTAGTTTTCTATTCTAGTGAAGCCTTTGTCTGGATTTGGTATTAGATTGATAGATTGAGTGGGGAAGTGTTCCCTTTCTACTGTTTTGTTGTTGTTGTTGTTGTTTTGAAGAGTTTGTATTGGATTGCTGTTAATTCTTCTTCAAATATTTGGTAGAATTCACCAGTGAAGCCATTTGGTCCTGGTATTTTCGATGTGGGAAATTTTTTGATTACTAATTCAGTCTCTTGTTATAAATTGTAGTTCCTTGAATGATGCTCCCCGCGCCCCCCCCCCCAAAGTATGTTACATCCAAATACTTGGAACCTGTGAACATGGAAGCTGCGTGCTCCTTCTCCCACACCTTTCCCTATGCATCTCTTCATCTGTGTCCTTTTAACTGTACTTTATAATAAACAAGTAAACACAAGTAAGTGTTCTGAGTTCTGTGAGCTGCTCAAGCAAATTGAGTCAAAATGTTTCCTAGGACAGTTTAGGCATCAAAGTATACGATAATGTGGTAGACAGAATAATGACCCCCTAGAATGTCCATGTCCTAATCCCTAGAATCTGTGAATACGTTAATTTACACGGTGAATGGGATTATGCAGAAGTTATTAAGGTTCTTTAGAGAGGAAGAGTATCCTGGATTTTCCAGGTGGCCCCAATCTAATTACAAGGGACCTTATAAGAGGGAAGTGGGGAGTGTAAGAGTCGGAGGAGGGAACATGATAACAGAAGCAGAGGTCAGAGAGAAAGATTTAAAGATGTACGCCGCTGGCTTAAAATATGGAGGAAGTCAGATGTCATTGAATGAGGGTAGTCTGTAGGAGCTGGAAAAGGCAAGGCAAGGGATTCTCTCCTGGAGCCTCCGGAAGGAATGCACCCCTACAAGCATCTTGGTTTTATCCCCATAAGACTTAATCTCAGAATTTGATCTCCAAAACTGCGAGATAAAAAGTTTGTGTTGTTTTAAGGCACAAAGTTTGTGGTAATTTGTTACAGCAGCAGTGAGAAATAATATAATCTTCAAATAAGAGCATAGAATATAAGTAGGAAATAAGAGTTTGTTTAGATATGATAGTAAAAAATCTTATTTTCGATCTGAGAAAACTAGGACCTCTGCTACTTTGACATTCTCATAAATAATACACAGGTATGACATTAAACCCACATACAAACTATCAGTACATAAAAACTACAAATTGTCATTAACAAAGGTGTATATTTACTCTGTATTGTATTAATAGCGTAAAGTTTACTTCTAGACAATCTTATAAAGAGGAATTTCTTACTCCACAAGGAAGTAATGGTGGAAGTCATAAAAGGTAGAAAGCAAATTCATTTCCAAAAATCAATAAAAACATTTTTGGAAGATAACTCTATGCAAACCGGACACAGTAGGAAGCTTGCACATTTTCAAATAAGCTGTTGGAACAAAAGAAAATAAAAACCAATAGATTCTAAAAAATAATACCAGTTAGCTCACTCAGTTGAGCACAGTGCTGATTAACATCAAGGTCAAGGGTTCAGATCCCCACACAGGCTAGCTGCCAAAAACAAACAAAAAACAAACAAAAAATAAAAAGTAAGAAACTGCTGGTATATGAATAGAAAAGTATATGATATCATTGATAGTTTCACTAAGCTGGCCATATCTGTCAATAAATTTATGATCAGTTGCATAGTACATAATGAATAAATGGATGAATTTTCAAACATTTCTGTAATGGGCTTAAGGAGTAATTCTCCATGATGCAGTTTAACAACATGATCCTTTTAAGTAGAAAATCAGTATTTGTAAGCAAAAGCAACCCACTGCATTCAATGTCAAAAGTAGTACTTAGGGCAATGGCTGCATAGGGACTGTGGTTCTAAAATTAGCTTGTAAGACAAAAAAAATAAATAAATAAAATAAAATAAAATAAAATAAAATTAGCTTGTAAGTAATCCTTGTTAGTAAGGCAGTTGATTAATGGCAGAGAAATTCATATACAAAATTCTAGTCACACAAAACATGACATAGTTAAAAAATAAAGACTTTATTACATTTAATGTTACTGATAAATAAGGAGTTAACACACATCATGTTCTCTTCAGAATTTAAGACTTTATTTTCCTCTTCAATTTAAGGTAGATAAACTACGTTATACTGCAGATCAGCTTCTTTTGCAAGATTACAAATCTCAAGAATCTTCCACTCCTTTACACTTTTTTTATATTTTCAAGTTTTTAAAAATACATAATGTGTCAATTCTGATTGTTTGGCTATTACAGAGTGATTTAAGAGAGAAGTTTATTTCTCTCTTATGTAAAAGAAGGCCAGAGGTAGGCAGTGGCAATGCCTTCTCTGCCTGAACAGCAACAGAAGTCATGGGTTTGGAATGACATTCACACCCACAGGACCCAGTAAGACTCATGGAAGCCAACCTGGCACACCAGGCTCACTTAACTTTGCAGGATACAGAACAAGAAACAGCACAGCAGCATGGCAGCATAAGGCTTATTTCAGGAGTCTTTAGCCTCCAAGAGTCAGCTTGGAACAAAATCATCTCGGTGAGTGCAGAAGCCACCCTTGCTTAAAAGCTTGATGCTCCATGGTGCAGCCTTGTAACACCAAGGTCAAAGGTTTGGTTCCCCATACTGTCCAGCTGCCAGAAAAAAAAAAAAAAAAAAAAAAAAGCTTCACGCTCCATAAGAGCCAATATCTCTTAAAACAGCCCAGAAGTACAGCTTCCAGGGACCTCTGCAAGAAGGAACTCAAAATTTTCCCAAAGCCCATGTTTTCCAATGGGCATTTATATACTTTGTCATAGCCTTCTTGGTCCACATACAGTTTACCAATTA